TGAAACCAGCCCCCGCCGCTTACGCAATCACTTCGGATAATCTGATAAAAAGCAGATTCCCCGATAACACACCTTTTGCGAATTATCCGTATCATCGCGTTATTAATTTTTCTCTTATTTGCATATTCGTCTCTGCGTCTGTTTTATCTATTCGGCTGTGTATTTTGTATTTTATCGTCTGTTCTGTTCTATCTATTCGTCTATGTGTCTGTTTCATCTATTCGGCTGTCTTTTTATTTATTCGTCTGTCTCTGTTCTATCTATTCGGCTGTCTTTTGTATTTATTCGTCTGTCTCTGTTCTATCTATTCGTCTATGTGTTTTTATCTATTTGTCTATGTGTCTCTTTTAATTTATTCGTCTATGTGTCTATCTTATCTATTTGTCTATGTGTCTATTAATCTATTCATCTAAACGTCTATTTTATCTATTCGTCTATGTGTCTATTTTATCTATTTGTCTATGTGTCTATTAATCTATTCATCTATTCGTCTATGCGTGTTTTTAATCTATTCTTCTACACATCTATTTATTTATTCGTCTACGCGTCTATCTATTTATTCGCCTACTCATCTATTTAGCTATTTGTCTGTGCAACTATTTGCCTATCCGTCTATTTATCTACTTGTCTATCCGTCTATTTGTATCTATTCGTCTATCACCTGTTTTATCATATTCGTCTCCGCGTCTATCTATCAACATGTCTATCCGTCTATTTATCTATTAATCTCCACGTCTATTCATTTATCCGTCTACGTGTCTATCTATTTATTCGTCTAAAGATCTATTTTATCTATTTGTCTATCTATGTCTTATTTGCTTATCCGTCTAAGCGTTCTATTTATCTACTTGTCTATCGTCTATTTATCTATTACTCCACGTCTAGGTCTATGTCTATTCTACTTGTCTATCCGTCTATCTATCTATTCGTCTCCACGTCTATTCATCTATCCGTCTACGTGTCTATTTATCTACTTGTCTATCCGTCTATCTATCTATTCGTCTACGCATTTTCGTTTCTCAAAAGTGTATATCAATCTATTCACAAAAAAAATAAAAATCACCGTATTCATTTTTTATCTTAAATTCCACAACACCTTCGTTAAAATAACAGTCATACGATAAAAAAATTATCTATCTTCTATCTATCAGTCCATTTCACGCTCGTCTGACTGACTGTCAATTTGCGGAAAATGTCTATCTGACAGTTCATATCAGTGTTGCCAATACTGCAATCAGGGTTGTCAATTCCGCTGTTTTGCTTTTCATTTTTTTTCTCCTTCGTTATTTGTGTCTTTTCTCCTTCTCTCTTTTTTGTTCTCCCTTTTCGGTGTTTCTTTCTCTTTATATTTCTCTGGCTGTATATTTTTTTCTCTCTCTTTCTCTCTCTTTCTTTGGCTCTTTCTCTCTTTCTTTAAGTCTTTTTCTCTATCTTTCCTTTTTTAATTTCTTCTTCACTCTCTCTCGCTCTCCCTTCCTCTTTTACGATTCTTCCTATCGCCATTTTTATCAGTAATTATCTTTTATTTCTATCCACCCATCTATCTATATAAATATTTCTTCATGAATCTCATTCTTATCATTTATATGAGTGATTATCTATCAATCCTTATTTTGATGTCTGTCTGTCTGTCTGTCTGTATGTATGCTTGCACGTATGTATAACTGTACGTATATATGGGTTTCTGTGTATGTGTATGCATCTAAAGTATGTATGTATATATCTATGTATGTGTGGATTCATGGGTGAATGGATGCATGTGTGTGTACATCATGTATGTATGTGTGCTTAACATGTTATGCGTCTTTGTAAGAGTGTATATGTTTATATATACAAATATATATGTAAATTACATACATACCACACACACACCACACACACACACACACACACACACACACCACACACACACACACACACACACACACACACACACACACACAACACGCACACGGCACACAGACACCTATCTATCTATCTATCTAATTATCTATCTATCTATTCATACATTTAATCTACGGGCACATTTTTAAAACCCCAACACCTTCCTCTTCCTCATTCTCCCTCCCCTTTTCCCTTCCCACTTTCCTCCTACTCTTTCTCCTCCTCTTTCCCCCTCCCCTCTTCCTCATCCTCCCCCCCTCTTTTCCCTCTTCCTCCTCCTCTCCTCCCCTTTTCCCCTCTTCCTCCTCCTCCCTCCTCTCTTTCTCCTCCTCCCTCCCTTTTCCCCTCTCCTCCTCCTCCCTCCCTCTTTTCCCTCTTCCTCACCTCCCTCTCCCCTTCCCTCTTCCCACTTTTCTCCCTCTTCCCTCTTCCTCCTCTTCCCACTTTCTCCCTCTTTCTTTCCCCCTCCCCCCTTTTCCCTCTTCCTCCTCCTCCCTCCCCTTTTTCCTCTTCCTCATCCTCCCTCCCCTCTTTTCCTCTTCCTCCTCCTCCTCCCCTCTTTTCCCTCTTCCCACTTTCCTCCCTCTCCCTTTTTCCCTCTTCCTCACCCTCCCTCCCTTTTTCCCCTCTTCCACTTTCCTCCCTCACCTCTTTCTCCCTCTTCCTCATCCTCCCTCCCCTCTTTCCCCTCTTACCTCTTTACCCCCTCCCCTCTTTTCCCTCTTCCCACTTTCCTCCCTCTCCCCTTTTCCCTCTTCCTCACTCCCTCCTCTTTTCCTCTCCGCTTTCCCCTCTTCCCACTTCCCTCGCCCTCTTTCCCTCTTCCCTCTTCCTCCTCTT